ATTCGATCTCAGGACCCTCCCAGACGTTTGGGGGGCAGGGGGCGAGGAGGCATCCAAGCCAGCCCCACTGGGCGATTGGGGGCAGCGGTTCAGGAGGGCCCCGCTTGCGGTCGTCGATGAGAGTAGGGCGCCCCACACATGGATCTGCTTTTGGGACGAGGCGGGATTTAAAGCCGAGCCCGTCTCTCTAGGCAGGCTGCTGCTGGCCAGAGAAGAGGAGAAAGAGAAAATTAATTTAAAATGAAGTCGCCCAGTTCGGTACCTTTCCAGGTAGGCGGCTCTCCATGCTGTTGCTCTTCTCCCTTTGACATCCGTATAAAGGGCTGGTCCAGCGAAACAACAGGCGGTTCATTAATTATGGGGTTTAAATGGTTTCAGATGGGACTGTGCTCTTTTCCTTAGACACCGGTCATTTAAAGAAACATTTTCAAGGCAGGTTGGGGTTTGTGAGTTTTTTTAAAAGCCTGTGGACAAGGGTGACTTCAGCGTTCACTATCCTTCATGCGTAAGAAAAATGCAGAATGTGTTGTTTGGATAAGGGGGGGGGTGTTCGTAAAACTTTAATTTTTAAAAAAAAGTATCCCCTCCAAAATGGGGAGAGAAATAAGGAGGGAGGTATTGGCTATATTTCAACAAACCTTTGTATGTTTAATAATAATAATAATAATAATCTTAGATGATTATTATGTTTATGGCCTACGTTCTAATAAATTGCATCCATTTTTAAAATGACTTACTTTCATATCAGTCCTCTAGAAGCCAGGTAATGCTAGCACTTTACAGTGGAGAAAACTGAGTCCAGCCAAGGGAAGAGAAACATTTTATAAATAAACAAACCTTTTTATTTGAAAACATGCATCTTCTGCCTTACCCCTTAGAAACTCTGGGCAGCTAGCAATGTTAAAATACTATGCTGAGCAATCAAATACTTGGTTATAATTTAAAATAAAAACTGCCAGGCATCAATATGCATGAACAGGAGAAGAAGATAATAAAAAATACCGCTGATCATGGAATCCTCTTCAGAGAAGATGCATGTCTGGGATTAATACTCCTAATTAGATGCACTTTATGCTCAGAGGGGAAAGACAGACATTTCCTACAACACAGACATATATTAATTGATTTCCCTTATTTTTCTCCTCTCGTCTTTGAGATCCTCTCCCAAAGCCATTCACCAAATTAAAAAGCCAAAGAGATTCCTATGCAGGCAGAAGGGGGATACCATCCCACTTAAATCTTAGTCCCCACCTCAAAAAAAAAAAGAGCAGTTGAAAGGAAGAAAGTTAAGATGGGGGAAAATAAAGGAAGGAACTCAGTTCTTCAAGGCCAGAACGAACTGTTGAGCAGTCATAGGCCCTTTTGTTCAAGTTCAGATGAAGTTCTGGTTCATCTTTCCTTGGTATTCCCACACAGAGCAGCCTCAAGGGCTCCACGTATATTTTTTTCAGGGCCAATGGTGGGTAGGGGGTTCTGAGTGCTGCAACCGAACAAACCACCTTATTCCTTCCAGAGATGGATGGGGCAAAAGGGCAATTCTTTTTTCCTAAGGAAAAAAAGCTGAGCATCCTTTCTCGGCAGGGTGCAGGGAGAGATGGTCCGGAAGTGCAACAGAAGTGGCACACTTTCACAAACATTCCCTACCACCACCACACACGCGCACACACACAAAACACCCTGCTTTTAAATATTGCTGCAATCTGCTTTAAGTCCTTAGAGGGAAGACAGGGTATAAATTAAGTGAATAAGTAAGTAAACAAACAACAGTGCCCTCTTGATGTCTTAACACATCTGCCACACACAAGGTTTGGAAAAAGAATATAAACTGGACTCCCAGGGGAGGAGATTTGGAGTGGATTAAAGGGGAAACCTGTCTCCATTCTTGGTTGATGAAACTTAAGACGGCACGTTTTAAAGACAAAGAAGTTCAGCTCTGTGCACAAAGCTGTACGGTACTGGTAGATTTTACTGAATAGCAGTCTCATTGGCTACACCCCACCTGAAGAGTTCCAAATCGCAGGCAGTTATATTGACTCCAATCATAAGTCAGCTGTAGCAGTGTCAAAAAGTGGTTTCTTTTGTAAAGCTAAGGGGTCCTAATCGTTAATGAAGACCCAGTAACTGCTGAAGAGCTGAGTGGTTTAGGTAGAGGTTGGGAGTTTGATCTCTTACTGTCCCTTCTTGACAGGGGCTGGACTCAATGATCCATAAGATCCCTTCCAGCTCTGCAGTCATAAGATGATCATCCAAAAGCATTTTGCATTACAACCGGGATAACTCACAGCAGTGTATTGCCGATAGGCAAATACTTCCCCCTCCCCCAAACTCTCTGGTACTGTAAGCAATACACCCCAACTCTGAGGGGGAAAGTGGGCCAAATGGCTGATCATGTCATGGCCCCCCCATGAATCAATAAGTCTGGATGCTCTGACCCTGAGAGTGGAGATTAGATATAACCTGCTTGATTTAGCATATTAACACTGAAACAATCAATTCTGCATTAACAGGAGGACAAAAGGACTGATATTTAGAGAAGAGACGGCATTTCAATTTCACATTTAAAATGTTGCGTTCAAAGGGTTAAAGCCATTCCTCCTGTTTAATGGGAAAATAACTGTTCTAGCATTTAATAATAAATTCTAATATAATGTTCCAAAGCATTTCCTTTGACTCCTGTCTCTATTAAATCACTGGTGTTGAATACCAAGGAGGACTTAAGGTCCTGCAGCATCTCTTGGTACATCTAACATGGAATGCATTTTCCATCTTCTGAGTTCATGGAGTCTTAGGAAGGCAGGTCTCTCTCTCTCTCTTAGGGCATGCTTCTCTACCGTTTGGAGGAAAATATTCTACGGATCCTGGGGTACCCTTGACCCTATTCCACCCCCATGGGTCCGCAGGACTGCAGTCTAAGTGATTGACCAAACAGGTTTCCCCAAGAATGAGAGAGAGACCAGGACGTGATCCGATCCAATTCCATCCAGTCCAGACCTCCTTTGAATTGCATGACCCAAGGACATTGCTGGCCCTCGTCAACAGACCAATGTGCCTTCAACTCAATTCTGACTGATGGCAACGCTTTTCAGGGTTTTCTAGGTAGAAAGTACTCAGAAGTAGCTTACCATTGTCTTCTTCGGGGGGCTCTCTGGGACTGTGCAGCTTGCCCAAGGCCACACGGGATGGCTCTGCTCACTGAAGGCACAGTGGGAAATCGAACTCCCAACCTTTAGCTCTGCAGCCAGATGCCTAATTCACACTGAGTTATCCAGTCAGCAGCATCAATACAGTTGGAAAAATCCAGGCGGGCTGGTAACCTAATTCAGCTGACTCCTTTTTCAATGTTATTTTACCATAATCTCAACCCTAGGCCACTTCTCTTAGTTGTCCATGTGTACATGCCCAAGAATGAAAGCATGTGTGTGTACACATTCACTGACATATGCACAAGAGCCACCCCAAGTTTCCCAGTGGCATGTGTTGGACTGCCATGTGTTTCCCATCTTCCCAAGATGAAACACTTCCCCCTTGGAAGCAAAATCTGCACACGCCCTGCTCTCTAGCTCTTATCGCATCAAACTGGGCACTCAGACAGCATAAGCCAAGCCTGAGGCACAGGCTGAAGGGAGGCGGGGAGGCAGTGTGGAGGGAACACAGCCCAGAAAAAGAGCCTGCGAAAAAACTGTGAGTGATTTGAAACAGCCAAATCTCAAAACTCCATCTCCGCCCCCCCCATTATTTCCTTTGCATGCTTCAACTTCTGCAGCAATTGACAGAGTTTGGAAATGTGACTTTGAGGGCAAAACTCCCAGAATCTGGGGACTGTCATCCTGTAAAGTCACTTTTCCAAGCTTTGGGCAATGACGTAAGGTTTTAATGATAGACTGAAGAAGTGCGGGCCCTCCATAAATTCCTGGATTCCAGCTCCCACCAGCTCTTACCAGCAAGTGTGAGGAACAGGAGGAGATTGAGAGTTTGTAAAGGAGGGCTACAAGTCTGTTACCCCCTGGGTTTGCAAAGGGGGATGGAGGCAGGGTTATGTTCTGCCATCTCTATCTCCTGCGTCATATTAAAAATATTAAATACAGTATAGAAATCCACCATCTTACAATTATCTCCCAAATGCTTGCTATTTTCTTCCTGCTTTTCTCAAGTCCTCCTCCTTCTCTTCTTAGCCTCAACAGGCAAGCAAATTAGGCTTAAACCATACAATACAAGCATAAATGTTCAGAGAACCCTATTAATAGTCGTAGCACAAGCTTTCCCACCTCCAGTATCTTATAAGTCAGCTTGCTTTGTTCCTTCCAAGGACCGATCTTGGAAGGTAAACACAGCCATCCTTTCCAAGTCTGATTACATAGACTTCTAACAATGTGCTAGCAATATAATCGTACCCTATGATACAAAAGGTAGGCTTCAATTTCCCAAATGCAAATATTGCCTTGTTGCATAACCAAACCATATTCA